CATTTTTGACATTGTAATTTATCATATTTTTGATAAATTCTATGTACAGATAAATAAAGTTATTAATTTCGTAATAGTTTGCTTCATAAACCCAACTAACGAGGTAGGTATGCATGCTATCAGGATTATTTCAACCCGACGACCTTCTGCGTTAGTTTGATAGAAACGTAATGAGTAACATATTGATAACACTGGCGTTTGCTGCATTGGGTAGTGTGTTAGTTGAAATTAATATTGGCCAAATCAATTTTGCTTTAAAACAACAAATGCCAACCGAATATTAAGCAAGACTTGAGCACGGTAATAATATCATACAGTATTGTAACTTCATAAACCGACGAAACGCGAGCTTTCCTTCGAATTTCAAATCTCGGGACGTGGTCGAAATCCAAAAGTTAGGGGTGTCACGAAAGTGCCGAACGGACGTCGATGGCCTACCGTTGAAAATGACTAAGGTGATGGAATTTGACTGACCGTCTTAAACGATCAAATTTGTCAAAAACTAGTCATTAACTGTCAGAAATGGTCATTTTCAGTCAGTTTGATTTGAAATGAAAATTATATTGTAAAAAACCAGCTTTGGCCCACGACTTCGCCCCCCTGAAATTAAAGTAACAGGTCATTAAGTACTCATTATGATTAGTAGATTCAAAATTATTTTAGTAGGTACCTATATTTTTTTTAAATTAAATCTACTAATCACAAAACAACAAGCATTCTTATCCTATTCCATTCACAAAGTATTTTGTTTGTCTAAATAAAAAAAAAATTACAATCACAAAACTAGATAGAAATTCTAAGTAGACAGATGTAATTAGAATGGGTACTATAGGTGAGCAGCCCTATCGCATGTTGTCATACCGTGACGTACCGCGGGGCTGTTGACATTTATTTCAAAAATATGGCCGAGTTGGAATACTGTATAGATAGTATTACCGTGACTTGAGACAAAATGCCATTTAAAAATAAACACGACTGCCAGTAGAAGCTGGATCATGGAGTGCTGAAGTTCGAAAATCGAATTGCATTGAATTAAAAAAATCCAATAAAACAAAAAAAAGAAGACAACGGCGCTTCGTCTTTTAAAAACGGCGTTATCACTGGCCATAAATAATGTCATTGACGTTCTTGTCCTCACTTTTAACGAACTTAAAATTAACAGTCTCTCGCAGTTTATATTCAAAGGAACTTAATAAAAATACACAGTCCCACATTCTAATTTGTTACAATGTGGCAGATGCCTAAAACGGGCCAAACAGGACATAGCTTACAAGAACCACTTCCTTTGTATTGGAACACAAATTAGATAGCGCCTTAGAATTACAATGCAAGAAACGAACTGCGGTCAGTTAGTGATGTTAAAAGAATATCGACTTTCGATATCGAAGCGACAATAGCCCAATGATTTTGTAGACTGGCTGAATGATCCGAAGAACATTATAAATAAATAAATAAATATCCTTAGACATTTTACACTGCGCTTCTAGTCCCAAACTAAGCAAAGCTTGTACTATGGGTACTAGACAACGGATATAAATATACTTAAATACTTTTTTTTTTTGTAAATACATACTTATTATACATAGAAAACACCCAGTCCAGTACAAACAAATATTATGTTCATGCACACAAGTGTTTGTACTGTGCGGGAATCGAACCCGCTACCTCCGGAATAGTAGTCCGTTTCAAACCACTACACCAAACGGCCGACAGACATTGGTTCAACCCCGCTACTGCTGGACTATTGCATTTAACCCACTCGTAACACTTAGGCTGGGTTGCACCATCTTACTTTAACTTTGACTAACGTCAAAAATGTGTCAAACTCTATACAAAAAGCACCGGTTATCGTTTACACAAGCATAATAATAAGCTTTCTATTAGAGTTTAAAAAAAATCACAAATACAGTTACTAAGATTAAAATGGCCAGCGATTTTTTTCAAATAACTGCAAAGGAATGTTCTACAAAATGCAAAATTGTTTCTATTCTGTCAATTTGAAAATTGGGTTCTAAGTAAATATTCATAAACCTCTAGTTTTAAATCTAGTGAGGACCTTTCAAATAGAAGTCCGTAGTGCAAAACTTTATTATTCTATCATATTTATCATGTCTCATAATGTCATAGAAAAAATCTATTATGGAAATGTATGATTGCATAAATGGGTTGTTATTAATAAATATCGCTGCAACAGCCATTCTCTTTTTATTTATATTCTTGAATTTATTTAATATTTTGCATTTGATTTGAATTATGAATTAATAATTAATTTAAATGCAAGATGTTTCCCACTATCAATTTTATTAATGTTCCGCGTTCGCGTTTATAATTTTGCACAAAAGGTTTTAAACATAAACATGGCTACAAAACAGGCAAAAAATTATAATATGATTTTGTTTGAAAGAAAGTATTAGAACAGGCTCATACTTTTTGACAGGCTTTGAGAACAAGGTGATTGTTGAACACTCATTACTGATGACACAAATACCGACTTTGAATCATTTGTACGTGTATTCGAACATTTTAGATAACATTCTTTAGCGTATGTCACGTAGTCCTCATGACATAACTAACATGAGAAATCCCATGAAACTAGGGTAGGGAAACGATGACATCATAGTAAGCAAAGTCCCGCCTTTTATAACCACACTGTTCCAACAAACAGGTTAGCTATTAGAAGCCATTTTTACAAGCCTTTTTACACAAGAATCCTGGCCAGCGATAACATTTTAAAGTAAAAAAATATGATCTTTTTTAGACTTTTCATCGTTGTTCAGCTCCTCAATAATTCTATTTTTAAAATTTTAAATTTGCGAATGAGGGTTTTCGCGATTGAAAAATCCGCCAGATGGCAATACGTAGACGCGAGGTCCAAATGCTGCGTGATTGGTGGATTTTGACATATCTGTCAATGTTATGTCAAAAATACGTATTGCCATCTGGCGGATTTTTCAATCGCGAAAACCCTCATTGCAACGTTCCATTTTTCCTTTTCTTTTTTTCATGCGGATACGGAACCCACACAGTCTGAATTCTACTAACATTTGTCAGTGTTTTTTGCAAACATTAGCAGGTTTCTGAGTCACGTGCACGCATCCTTAACGCATTACGTCATTTCTGGTTTTTGTTGATGAATGAATAATCCTGCATGATATTTAAAAAATTTCGCCAGATAACTATTTCCTCAATAATACTTGTACCTATTAGAAATAGTCTTGTGTGGCTTTAAAGTTGAAATTACTACGTACCTACCTATTTATTTAAATAAAATTCAATGCACATAGAATGCCCCTTCAGGGGGCATCCCTTTATCTATATAAAGCCTAAAGTATTCGTCATGAAATTCCTATGTATTGTTTATTGTGAAATGCTTGACATCATTATGATGTGGTCTCATTAAAATACCTACAGGAACATGAATAATGACGAATATGATTTTATTTCATCCTTGAACTAAATATTGCGGAAAACAAAACTCTACTAATTAAGTTATTCTGTGGCTCTACCATGATTTACGCGTGACATTTCAGTTTGATTTCTGGTATTAATAATATTTTAATTTTATTATCCTTTACTTTAATGATACCAAGTAGTAAAATTACAATATTTTGTGTGCTTTATGACATCATACGTAATATAATAAACTTGTTTTCTTTATAATAAGTTGAGACTAAAAACCATATTTCAGCAATATTGACAAACTTTTCTAATGACTTAAATCGAGAATTTAGAATTTTCATCATGCTAATATGATAAATATGACTTAGTTTCATTCTGTACTACCTATTCTGAATCGAATTCATCGCATAGACACACTGCTGCATAGTTATTTATTATTTCTGGTCATATACCAACGATAAGCATGTATGAATGGTCGACTCGTTTAATAATTTCGATGGCGTGCACAACCATCCTCATTGTCGGCCCCAGGGAAAAGGCAGCACTGTAGCTTACTTACCTACATTGCTTATAGAGTCCCCTGTGGACTGCACTGATAATACTAATCACAATATGACATAAATAAGTACGAAGTATACAATTAATTAGTTAAGGATCAGATGATAGCATTTCTTGTGTTTTGACTAGATTAATGGGTATTTACAATGTAGAGTCCTAAAACGAAATGTCTTCTTCTTAGTCGTTACGCTCTTGGCAGAGCGGTCGTGGTCACGTTGAGGCGTTGTTTACATCGGTTGTAGAGGCGGATACAACTCTCCGCACGATCTCCCTCCATCTCTCTCTATTGGCAGACTTTCTGGTGCAGTCACATAAGCCGTCTCCCACTGCTGCTTTCACTTGGTCGGTCCAGCGCATTGGTGACCTGCCACGTGATCGGGTTCCTTCGACTTATCCCTGGACGACCAGTCGTTCTATGGAGTTGTCATCCCGCCTCGAGACATGTCCGAAGTATTGCAGTATGCGCGACTGTACTACGGTTGATAAACGCTGAGTGACACCGAGCTCCTGGAGTATGGACACATTGGTACGGAACTCTGTCCATGATATCCCGAGCATCTTTCTCCAGCACCACATCTCTAGGGCATCTATCTTCCTCTTTTCCAAGTCGCGTACTGTCCATGTCTCTGCTGCGTAAAGAAAGACGGGGAATACAAGCGCTCGCACAAGTCTAACTTTGGTGGCTTTGGTAATGTTGCGATTCCTCCATAACTTCCTCAACTTCTCCATCGCAGTTCTGGTTATGGCCAAACGAAATGTGGTGGACAGCGAATTTAGCGACATTTTAGACTACTTAAAATCGTGTGGCGATAGACGTACTTGCCAATGGTGTTAGTTGGAAACCATTACCACTAATGCTCATTACACTTTACCTGCATATTTTGAAACCCGCAAGACTCGAGCCCACTGCCCTTGCAACCACCAGGCCTGACGGCTTGCAACAGACCATTAGCTCAAAAAATTCTTCCACTTCTGCCATTGATCAGACAACGCTTCCAATTATTATAGACCACTAGTTCAAAAAATCCTCTCCATCTTTGCAGATCAACAGCAAATACAGCGAGGAGCTCGCTCAGGAATGCCTGGAGTGGGTGCGCACGATCACCGGCCAGCCGGAAAACGTGTCTGGGGACATGGACAACTTCTATGAAGTCCTGAAAGACGGGACTTTGCTGTGCAAGTGAGTAGCATTCAGTTTTTGGACTTCTTCTTTCTTATGTAATTTTAGTGTCAGATTTAGAATTATTGCAAAGAAAAAACGGGACTATTCCCATCTCTTATTTCCACCACTGCAATTCCTGTGTAGCCAGGATCTACACTACCGCCAATAAAAACCCAACCAGTGAAGGCCAAGTTTGTTCCAGGGAAAGTTAAACTGTCATTGGACCCCGCAACGAAATTAATCAGAACTTTAAATATTGCAAAGAAAAGTGATTTTTCAATTTGTGTGTCCTATCTAGTAACTTAACTAGGAACCCTCGAATCAAATCAAGTCAAGTCAAACTCTTTTACTACACCATCACAACATCCTGCTGGAATATTATTATTAATACATATTTTCTTAAGTTTACCTAGGCTACTCCTATGGTACAGCGACTCGAAAGAGTGTATTGACCTCCGATAACAGACGTCGCCATTTACTTAGGAATGAAACAATTTACATTTACTGACGACAACAACTCATTCTTTACAGGTTGGTGAACAACATCCAGCCTGGCATAGTGAAGAAGGTAAACGAATCAAAGATGGCGTTCAAATGCATGGAGAACATCAACGCGTTCCTGGAAGCGGCAAAGAACCTCGGCGTGCCTGCGCAGGAGACCTTCCAGACTGTCGATCTGTGGGAGAGACAGAACCTGAACTCCGTGGTCATATGCCTCCAGAGTCTTGGCAGGAAGGTAACTATCCGTTCAATAGCGTAGTTTGAACCACCATAAAATGGTGACTATAAGGACAACTGGAATTTAATTTCTCCCCAGCTCGTGACGTGTTTCTTTAAAATTGTCGCCAAATAGGTATGCCATGTTCTGCAAGAAAAAATCATCATGAAGTTTGTTTCGAAATATTAATGACACAGAAGCACAGAAGTTTTCCGTAAGGAATTTATTGTAATTTTCTTTCATGGGCTCAAGTAGCAGCAATATTTCTTGCGTTACCGTATACTTACATAAGTAGAAGGCTAACTACATTTTCTGTTGCAAAATGTTAGTATAAAAATGGTTTTAGAATTGCGTCATTTTAACATTTCTCTCTTCGTTCCAGGCCCACAATTTCGGCAAGCCATCCATAGGCCCGAAGGAAGCCGAGAAAAACGTTCGGAACTTCTCGGAGGAGCAGCTGAGGGCTGGCCAGGGAGTGATCTCCCTCCAGTATGGCTCCAACAAGGGCGCCAACCAGAGTGGCATCAACTTCGGCAACACGAGACACATGTAAACCCCGACATCCTAACATCACATTGAACTGGTTGACATTAAAATTTAATTTAAAACAGGATCGTTCTAAGCAAAAAGCTATAGATTTCTGCAGTTGTATAACTACCTTCTAGTTTTGGTAATGTTTAAATAACTTTGTCTACTTTGTGTATACGATACCTCTTTTTACCTATTTGTCTGTCTACTCTGGCAACTAATTATTACCGTTATATAAACGTATATTTGTAGAGGATAAGACGTACCTCGATGACATACTCATTTTCTTCTCAAGTTAATCTCCAAGTATTTTTTGCTTAGAATGAAACAGAATATACAGGGTGTAAAGAAAAGGTTGGCAAAAACTTTCATATTTGACTACGAGACCGCACAATCTTGGAAGTCTTTTCTTCACATTATTTTCACTTTTGTTTGCTTTGAATAAAAGGGAAATTCGTAAATTTCTCTCTCTGGACACAGTCAAAAGTCAATGTTAAAGTTTTTATCTGCCTATTTTTAACACCTCCTATTTTATAATGGATGTTAGAATTGAAATAGTTCACTATTATCCGTGTTGATCAATCAAATTATCTCTTTACATAAAGTTACTTCTCAGTACTTAGATTCTACTTAAAACTTAGAAGACTTAGTTTAAAGGACCATCCTGAAAATAGACAGGATTCTATGGACTCGAATCTCTGGGTGTCAAAATTTATTTTTGTAAAAGTATAGTCTCAGACTGTCAGTCATTAATTCGTATAATTTAGCATTTAGTTTTGTATAAAATATAACCATTCCGGAGTCATTCCGCATTTTGGAATTTATTTTTGTGCTGTTTTAATGTTGATGAAAAAGTGGTTTGTTTTATTTATATTTCATTACTATAAGTCATGTAGAATTACGTGTTTAATTCATAACTATTTTTGTAATTTTTAGGATTGATTATAATAAAGTTTATACATTTATTTTTCTTAATAATGTGCCAATATTATTTTTACTTATTGACACTTTTTCACTTAACAGTACAATTTGTTAAATAATATTTTTCAAATTTATATAACTTACTAAGTGTAGTTATTACACTAAATTCTATTATATTGAAAATTGAATACAATTCTATTATATTGTGCCTTTTAAGCTCCCAAGGACTTTAAAACTAATACGTGGCTAACAGCAAAGTTTTTTAAAGGCTTGTAGTTGTCTCTTTATTTAAAATAATTATATCGTATTAAAACTCATCATTCCAGTTTTTGTAGTAATTGTAGTACACACTGTGATTAATGATTTTATTATTATGTACATCTCTAACTATATTTTCGTATTTATAGTTATGTACTTTGACGCGTAATATTAAGAATGTAAGTTTCATGAAGTACTTTTACTTTATGGAAGTACGTAGAATAAAATAAATAAGTAAAAAATATATTGGGTGTTTTTTTTTCTAGTCTAAATCATGCGCGTTATAAATAAATATGACTTAAATACCTACTATTTTATAAGTAGACAATTTATTAATACTCTTTTTTAATTAAAATTAAACAAGTAAAATAAGAACTTGTTAACTTATCAAAAAAGGAGACAAAAAGCAACTAGACCGACGAAAGTTGCGGACTGGTATTGCCATCTACTGGGGTAGTTTGTACTAATTATAATAGCAGCGTATTTAGCGCCATCTAGGAATAAAGTGTCGAATCGCATGTACACAAAGCTTTTCTGCTTTTCTTACGGAATTTTCGCTCATGAAGTTAGTTGGCGCCACTGAGCGGTTAACCCCCCAGTTAGCCCTCACTGACTCAATAGGGTTTTGGTACATTACCTTTTTAGGGTTCCGTAGCCAAATGGCAAATAACGGAACCCTTATAGTTTACTTTACTACGATAAGAATAAAGCTTATAGGATAACGCAATTATTTTCTAATGTAATTCCATAAAATCGCGAAACATTATTTATTTTTTGTGTAGGATGGCACGATGGTTTATCTATTCTACGTACAATTTTTATTTACATTCATTTATTAAGGCATAGTTATTTCCAGGTTCCAGTTACCATTAATTTTTGCCTTAGAACTAAACTACTGAACCAATTTTAAGAAAGTTGAACTTTTTTGAAATCGATTAAAAATAAAAATATTTACTTAATCAAATTGTGCAAGTACCTACTTACTTAGGAGGTTACTGCATATTTTGCTGGGTCTACCTACCTACTTACCCACTGTATGTATGGTTATGGTTACCTACCCTAAAGCTATAAAGTATAAGGCTTAAGGTAAGCTTATTCAATTAACGCAAACGGTAACAATATGTAAGAATAATCAACAAATAATTTCTTAGTTACAAGACTAAAAAATCCTCACAGAGACAAGATAGCTGTGCAATTTTTAATTAGGTTTACTTACTTACAACTAACAACGAGGTTCACATGACGACCGCATGATCGTAGGCACTCAGACGATGAGAATAACTGAAAAGTTTTAGAAGTAAAAAATTATAAAAATGTACTTATTGTATCCTCCTCTCCTACCTACTTACTCACACACTAAACACTCATTTTTATAAAATCATTGATTGAATTTTAAATGTTTTAAAATTCATAATTTAGCATACCTAGTAAAATGGCCCTAAAAAGTATCGCCTCCTTGTCACGGAATTTTCCCTTGTTTTTAAACGGAAAACTTACATAAAAAGTTCTTAAAAATATTTCATTTTAAAACCTTTACAATTTTAGATTAAAAAAAAACCACTAAGTCACGGTAGTGAAAGTGTGAACGAATTAGGTAATTACAGTTTAAAACATAACTCTCCTTCTGGCGCAGTCGGGTAAAAAGCATCAAACTTCATCATTGTGAGAAGTTTCCCTTCTATGCTTATTCAGTTTTTATGCTCAGACACCCCCAGCAGTGCTTTTATCACAAATGCCCACCGCGATAACCTAATGATGTCGTTACTTTATAGTCGTTATTTACTAAAATTATAAATAAGGATGGACTTATGACTTACAATAAAAATAAATATATTCAAGAAGTATGCAAGCATATTTTCTTGCTATTGTTTCCAAGTAAGAGTGCACGTAAAAATAGCGTGGATTTAAAAATACTTTTGGACTCTAGATTTATGGAAATTTTTGAATGGAATGCATACCTATTAATTTTTCAAGGTGAACGTTTCTTTGGTGCAGCATCAATGTCAATGTCAAAAAGTTGTCTGTTTTCAATGTGTCAAAATTGTTTATCTTTGAAAATAAACTTTTTTCATTGGCCAATAGAGGTTTGTTTTCCTTTTTCCAACAATTTGATTGGCTAAAAAATTGACGTTTCACAGCTGACATAAAAATTACAACAGAGAATAAAATTTTGAATTCGTACGAAGTTTGTTTTGGTGTAAATTTTTAATAGTTGGTAATCTAAATTAATTGCAATGTTTGTGAAGATGAAGAGAATCGGTTTTTCGTATTGATGAAATTACTTGAATAAATAGTATGTCACAAACAGATGCTTACGCGAATGGTTGGGCGATCGACACCACTCCGCCTCCTGACCTCCAGAGCGAACTTCCTGATAAGGACGTGAGTTGCCCCCAGCAGAGTTGTTTGTGTTGCTTATCGAACGTCCTCTATTTTGACCCGATCGTAAATTGCCGTTTATTCCTGGCTTATCAGAGGCTCCTGCAAGTCTTAGGTCTGTGGCATCACTTCTTCATGATGCGAATATTTTGTTATTATTCTTACTCATATTATTACCACACGCAGAAGTATAGACACTGTGTGCTGAACACTGAAGAAAAAATTGCAGTTTAATTCGTTTTCATGGAAGTTGTGGAAGCCTGTATTCAGGTAATGAAACTTTTTTGAGGTTATCTAACATTTTCAGTCACAAGTTTCATTCATAATTATTTAGTGATATTAATAGTCATTGGTCAAAAGATAATTACTTTTTGACTAATGATAAGTCAATATTATACATGTACCTATGTGTCAATGAATACATACTTACCTTATCTAGATGTAAAAACCTGATTAAAATCAACATAATAATTTACTTAACCCAACCAACTGAAATCAAACTTCTATTCCGTTCACAATGATTTGTCTATAATCTGTTGTTATTAGAAAATGGAAAAAAGTTCAAAATACAATAATTGCATAACTATTTATTTACATAATTTTAGTGTTCCAAAAAATTTAATGTTAACTTTTACATTGAACATAATGTGAGTATACCTTTATACATACTTCTAGACTTTATACATTAAATACTACTTTAAGGCGCAAAAAAATAATAATTTTAACCTACATTATAATTAGCATAGAGGTCACATCATCCGATACTGTGCTATCTTTGACTAAGTAACGTAATTGATCATTTGCGTTATTTGATTACGTACATTATCACTATCTTTAGATGTTTATGATTTAAAATCTTTTGAATGATAAATATTTTGAACAATGAACAATAATAACTAATATTATTTCTTTCATATTTCCACTACGGAAATGTTGACGTCATTACGTTGGTAATTTGAATTACGTTGGTATAATTTTACATAAATAACATGGAGATAAAACTTCACCTATAGTTAAAAAATAGAATATTTAAAGTGGTAGTATTTAAAAAAATAAGTAAAAATATCATCGTCATCGTTTCAGCCAAATGACGTCCACTGCTGGACAAAGGCCTCCCCCAAGGTTTTCCACAATGAACGGTCCTGCGCTGCCCGCATCCATGCTCTTCCCGCGACCTTTACCAGATCGTCGGTCCACCTAGTAGGAGGCCTGCCCACGCTACGTCTTTCAGCCCGTGGTCGCCACTCGAGAACTTTCCTGCCCCAACGGCCATCGTCTCTACGAGCTGCCCCGCCCGCCGAGTGATGGTATACGGATCTGAGACGTGGTCGCTTACTATGGGCCTCATAAGAAGGCTTAAGGTCACCCGAAGGGCGATGGAGCGGGTTATGCTCGGAGTTTCCCTGCGTGATCGAATCAGAAATGAGGAGATCCGCAGGAGAACCAAAGTAACCGACATAGCTCGCAGAATTGCTTAAAATAAAGTAAAAATATGTTTGATTGAATTAATATGATTACACCTTGTAAAAAGTTTCATCAAGTTATTTCACTTAATATTTTTAGTGCTGCGCATGACGAAATAATATTAGGCGGTGTCACCATGCCATTTACAGCTGCTGCCGTCTCTTTTCCAAACTTCAACTGAATCTGGTTATTTGGTTTATCTTTAGGTTCCTACCTGATATTTTAATTGGTATCATCATATTTGTTCTGTATTAGCTAGTCCTTCATAGATGACATAATATTATTGGCCATTCATTTCCCCTCTCATCCAATAATTCAGTAGAAAGATAAATTGTTTGCACATCGAATCGTCCCAGTGGAACAATTAACTATCAAGACAAACAGTCTTTGTTGGGCACTTATCATTTACTCATTACCCCCTAGTTAGCAGGCACGGACACTGCCTTATCAGGGGTGGACGAGCTACATGACCCTTAGCCTCGTCACCCGCGGCAGTCGTCTGCTGCTGATAACAGACGCCTATAAATTGGACACGTTATCGCAACGCACCATTCTTCAGTTGTCAGTGCGCCCCGCGTTTGCTCTCTGAACACACGTCTATCAAACAGTGAAATTTTGAAGCCAATTAACCGTTTCTCTTTTGTTTCTATCCCATTTTCAAGTTTCATCCATGGCTAAGTTCATCAAGTACTGTGACTTCCTATCACCAAATTAATTAGTTTGTGTGTTAATAAACATTGGACTGGTACGAGAAAGCGCGTAAAAACGCCTGTGATTCAGTCTCGCAGGCACCGATCTTCGCTACGATTCGAGCTGGCAAGAGCATACATGCATTTTTACAACGATCTCCTGCAAAAAATGACCATTTCCCTGAAGTTCCGTGTAAACCCCATATATTATTCGGACTATTCGGATACGATTTAGGCTTGTACCTGAAATTATTTTATGCTAAAAGCACCTTCTGCCATTGGCTATACCATTTCGAGTACTACAAGTTCGGAGTTTATTCGAAGGATATTACTTGACGCTGGTTTATCTTCCTCTTGTGAAATTTTTATTTCATCATCATGGATATCGTGGCAAATGTAAGTATACAATCGGTAGCTGAACTTTTGTTATCGATGTATTATTTTATGACGAGGGTCATAGTGTATCTGCCTGCGTTCTCTTTGCTTAATCGAAGTGTTTTATAGCGTTTATTATTTTGTTAACAGTACCACCCGGTCTTCAAGGCCTTCTTGGCTGGGTCGTTCTCGGGGACGTTCAGCACGATACTGTTCCAGCCTCTGGATTTGGTGAAGACGAGGCTGCAGAACCCTACTCACAATGTTGTTG